GATGGCTCCCACAGGAGAGGTGTGGCAACCGGAGGCCGGAGCCATCGGCCAGTGTTACCAGAATCACTACTCCTGGGAGTGTGGGGCTGGCACCGGGATTCTTCGGGGGATGTATTTGGTAACAAAACTGGAGTCCAACACTCAGAAACAAGCTTGTCTTATCCAGGGAACACAGGTTGAGTCGCATTTTAATCTCACGTCATCTAAGCCAAGCATTGTTTTCACTGAACCTGACTGCTGAGTCCCTAAACCCGAGGACAGTCACTGAGTCACTAAGCCCAGGGCAGGCGCCCACATACACGCAGCAGGACCTGGGGAACAGCATTGTAGAAGCAGCTGTCACGTGAAGGCCACTCCTCAGCTTGGACTTGTGTCCAGTCAGGATCCAATGTGTGAACTAAGTTCTGTCTGGAGAGGCAGAGGAATGATTTGCCCTGGACCACCTGTGGCCTGCAGTGCACGCAGTGTGGTCTCATTCGTTCATAATGATTAGTGGGCCGTTGTCTTTGGAGAACATGAGATGGCCACTCGGGTTTTTTTCTCCCATGAGGTCTTGTTTAAGGGAAACTTTACAGATGAGAGCACCCCATTGATTTGTAAATATGAAAGCATGTTGACGGCTGTAATTAAACCGCTGGGCATGTCCACAAATGGGTGTGGCTCCTGCCCCATCACCCACCTGTAACTTTATTTATTTTTTATTTTTTAAATATATCTTTATTGATTTCAGAGAGAGGAAAGGAGAGGGAGAGAGAAACGTCAATGATGAGTCATTGATCGGCTGCCTAGCCCGCACCCCGGGCATGTGCCCTGACCGGGAATCGAACCCTGATCGCCTGGATCCTAGGTCGACGCTCAACCGCTGAGCCACACCCAGCCAGGTCCACCTGTAACTTTAAAGGGCACATAATAAGCAGGGGCAGGTCGGCTTGTGCACGCGGGCACACACACACTCTTACAGGCACACACAGACTCTTACAGTCGCACACATACACTTTTTGCACACACACAGTCAGACGCACACTCTTACAGGTGCACACACATACAGGCACACACAGGCCTCGGAATCACACCCAGACTATACATGATTTTTTACCATTTCCAAATGGTTTTTGAATCTTAAATTCCTTACTTTATTCTATAAGTTGCACCCTTCATTCATTTTTAAAATTTTTATGAGGTTTTTAGTATGAATTAGCGAAAAGTTTAGGCTGCCAACTTTTTTTTAAATTTAAATTTTTATTGAGATAATTGCCAATCCCCTTGTAAGAAATAGTACAGCCTCACGCACCCTTTACCGAGTCCCCCTGTGGTGATGTCTTGCCAAGCAGCAGGACACCGTCACAAGCGAGGCATGTCAGCATTTTCTTTGTTAAAAAATTGTGCTGACAACCAGTGACTCTCTCATCATTGATGTTTCTGTCTCTCTCCCCCCCTCTCCCTTCCTCTCTCTGAAATCAATAAAGATATATATATTTTTTAAATTGTGCTAAAATACACATAAAATTAGCAATGGTGGCACTTAGTCTGTTCACAGCGCTGTGCAGTCTTTGTCACCATGTAGTTCTAGGACATTCTCATCGCCCCAGAAGGAAGCTGTGTGCCCAGGTCACTCTCCAGCTCCCTCCAGCCCCTGGCAACCACTGACCTGCTTCCTCTCTGGGCTTTCCTCCTGGATACTCACATAAATGGAATCACAGGACATGAGGCCTCCAGAGATTGGCTTCTCTCACACCTGTCCTGTTTTCGAGACTCATGTTGTGTCAGGGTCAGTCCTGAGTGAGATCCCACCCCAGGCGGAGCTCGTCCCCTTGTGCTTCGCAAACTCTGCGTGTTCAGTCGTTGAGGCGATTATGCCTCGACTCCCTGAAGGCTCAGGTGATGGTTAGCTCTTTTTAGCAATAAAGTGTTTTTTCGTAAGGTGTGAACATTGTTATGTTTTTTTAGACATAATGCTGTTGCACACTTGATAGACTACCGTGAAATATAAACATAACTTTTATATGCACAGGGAAACCATAAAATCCATGCGACTCTCTCCTGCCATACTTGCTCTGCGGCAGAGGTCTGGCCGGATGCACCGTCTCCAAGTCGGCCTGCACACTGAGGCGCCGTGTGGCATTTTGTGTGTCCCTGTGCCTGGAGACGGGCATCTGGGCTGTCTCCGCCTTTTGGCTCTTGCGAAGGTGCTGCTGCTGTGACATTTGTGCGGCTGTAGTCTGAACGGCCGCGAGCTCCAGCACTCCTGGTGTCTCCTAGGACGGGGTTGCTGGGTCACTTGGTAACTATCTTCAATGGTTGCTGTTTTCCAGCTGCAGCATCTCATCCCCATCAGCAGTATAGAGGGCTCCTGTCTCCACATCTTCTCCATTACTTGTCACTTTCCCGGTTTTCTTTTTCCAGATGTCCTCGTGGGTGCGAAGCGGTGTTGCATGTGGCTTTGGTTTCCATTTCCTAAGGGCCAATAAATGGCAGTGAGCACCTTTTCACGTGCATGTTGGCCTTTGCTTATCTTTGGAGAAATGTCTCTTTAAAAAAAAATTTTTTTATTATTGATTTTTAGAGAGAGATGAAGGGGGAGAGAGACAGAGAGAGAGAAACATGGATCGGCTGCTGCCTCCTGCACACCCCCTACCAGGGGTCGAACCCTGACCTGGTGTTGAACCGGCAACATTTTTGGTGCACAGGGCAATGCTCAACCAACTGAGCCACACCAGCCAGGGCTGGAAAAATGTCTCTTCAGGTCCTTTGCTCTTTAAAAAATTTGATTGTTGCCCAGCCAGCATGGCTCAGCCCTTGAGCATCGACTTAGGATCCAGGAGATTGCGGTTCGATTCCCGGTCAGGGCACATGCCCGGGTTGTGGGCTTGATCCCCAGTCGGGGGCGTGCAGGAGGCAGCTGACCAACAACACTCTCATCATTGGTGTTTCTGTCTCTCCCTCCCTCTCCCTTCCTCTCTTTGAAATCGATAAAGGTAGATTTAAAAAAATTTTTTTGTTTTCCTTTTTGTTGTTGGATTTTAAAAGTTCTTTATTCAGGGTTCTGGACCCTTATTAGATACATGATTTGGAAATACTTTCTCCCACTCTGTGAGCTGTGTCTTCACTTTCTGTGTGGTGTCCTTTGAGGAACAAAAGTTACTAATTTTGATGAAGTCCAGTTTGTCTTTTTTTTGCCTATGCCTTTGGTGTTGTATGTAAGGAGCACCGTTGTTGGATTTAGTTCTTCCACTTATTTTTGACCCATTACCAGTTAACTTTGTAGAAGGCGTGAGGTGATGGTCCACCCTCATGTTTTGCGGGTGGATGTCCAGTTGTTGAAAAGATTGTTCTCTTCTCACTGAACGGCCTTGGCACCCTTGTCAGAATCACCCGGCCACATGGGTAATTTGTGGACTCTCAGTTCTGCCCAGTGACTTACACGTCTGTCCTTAGTCCAGGCGATACTGTTTGATCACTTAGCTTGAAGTCATCTTAAAGTCAGGAAGTGTGAGTGTTCCAAATCTGTGCTTTCTCAAGATTGCTCTGGCACTCGGGATCCCTGGCATTCCCACGTGAATTCTAGGATCAGCGTTCCATTTCTGCCACAGCCCAGCTAGGCTCATGGAGAGGTTGCCCTGAAACCTGCAGATGCTTGGTGTGATCTTGCCGCACCTGCTCTTAACAGTGGGGATCCCACTGACCCCTGAATCAGAACCACCTGGGTGCTTGTCTGCAAGGTCATTTATGGGCCCCAACCCCAAAATCTGATGTTTAAGGGCTGGCCCTGGCCCCAAATTTGCCACTTTAACAGTCCCCCCTCACGAGTCCCTGGGTTCCAAGGCTTGAGAACCATGAGCTGGTCTTACTCTGGAGGGACTTGGGTCCAACGTGAGCAAGTTTCCTAGTTTAAAAACGGCCTGTGTGTGTGCAGAGCAGCCTCCACAAACTGCTCACTGTTCACCCCCATTTTGGCCCTGCTTGACCACTGGAGGAAGGTCCCTGGGGCATGTCCAGGTGACATCTGTGAAGCCACATTTCCTGGGCCATGTTCAGGAGCTCTCGGACGGGTCGCAGAGGGTAGTGACATTTGTGAAACCCTTTGCTGCCTTATTACCCTCAGTCTTTTCCACATTACCCCCAGCTTAACCCCTTTCTGTCAGACCCAGGGGGGTGTGCCCAGCTGACCTCCACCCAGCCCTCTGGGAAGCCTTTTGCGTGGTGGGTCTTATTTCTTACATCTGCTCTCAGACACGTTTCCAGGCCTCTCTCTGCACACCCTCAGTCTCAGCACCTTGGACCGAGCACCCAGCAGACCTCTCGGAGCTCACTGAGGAGATGCTCCTCCCAGCACCCAGCAGACCTCCCACAGCTCACTGAGGAGATGCCCCTCCCAGCACCCAGCAGACCTCCCGCAGCTCACTGAGGAGATGCCCCTCGCACAGTGCTGCCCTGCCCTGCCCACTCCAGCTGCCTGGCCTCAGGCTGCCCCTTATGCCACTGTGCTCCCTCCTTTGCAGATGCTCTTTCCCCACCTGGCACCTCTTCCCTGCCCTCCTCTCCTGGTCATTCCTGTTCATCCTTCAGTCTCGGTATAGCTGTTGGATCTGGGCAGCTTCCCTGATCTCTGGGTCTGAACCCCAGTTGTGTGGTCTCCGTGCCTCATTCACCTGTGTGGCTCTTGCCTGTGGTGGTCTCGTGTTTCTTTATGTGACTAATGTCCCATCTCTCATCCAGGAGCCGAGAAAGTTGATTGCCAGCTCCTGGCACAGTGACTGGCATTTGGGAGATGCTCAAGTAACTATCTGTTGGTTGGATGGTGGAGGCATGAGTGGGTGTGTAGGTGGTGACATGTGGACAGGCGATGGGCAGATGGCGGCGGCTGTGTGGTGGGCAGGTTGGCAAGCAGGAATCGGCGAAAGCTCCTAGAACCTCCCATTGCTGTGTCACTGACCTCAGTTCTCCAACCTCTCAACCTTGCTCTATCCAAAAATAACACACCCACCACTCCTTTCTTCCAGCCTCCTGGGGTCACCTTGGTCAGTGTTCATTCCAGCCCCAATGACCAGATGCTATGGGCGCTGGACAGCAGGTGCAACGTGCATGTCCGCGTTGGGATCACTGAGGAGATGCCGGTGGGGACCGACTGGGACCACGTGCCAGGTAGGGGTGTCAGGCATGTGGCACTGTCCCATGCTGGCAGGCCACGGGGGCCTCATCTGGTTCCTGCTGCTGTCCTGGGGCAGGTGACAGGCACGTGATTAAGTATCCTTTTTGAGGGACCAAGCCTGCATCCTGGAGCTCTCTGTGGCGTGGTCATTTCACTCCCCCCCTTCCCCCCAAGTTGCTGCTGCACCCTGACCACAGGGCAGCCAGGGCTTAGAGACAGTACATTGTAGTTGCTTTTGCATGGCCTGGACCCTCTGACCTTCAGCCTCAGGCTCTTGGTGACTTTGTGAGCCCTGCTAACAGGGACCCTACCCCTCAGCTCCCCTCACAGCCCAGCCCAGCCCAGCCCAGCGCAGGGCACTTCACCACGGGGACGCTGTGGGCGCAGTTTCCGGAGAAAGCAGGCACTTGGGAGGGGGTGGTCCATTGTGCCTGCAGCCGGGATCTGAGGACAGATGGAAGCCCTTTTTGCCCATAGGGTTGCAGGCCTGCCAGTTGGCACTCAGCACCAGGACCGTGTGGGCCCGCTGCCCTGACGGCGACATCGCCCGGCGCTACGGCATCACCGACAAAAACCCTGCGGGAGACTACTGGAAGAAAATTCCTGGGAGTGCAACATGCCTCACAGGCAGGTGCTGGGGCTGCAGGCTGCGCCAGCCTCCATGAGGTTACCAGGCTCCCAGGGACCCTGTCAGTGGGGCTGTCTCGGAGGCTGCTCCCATGGGACCCCTCTCCAAGCCTCAGGAGCCCATCCCTGGGTTACACTTGAGGGAGGGAACCTGGCACCTAGTGAGGGAACTTGGTCTCCTAGGAAGGGGACAGGGCACTGGGCCGCCTGCTTTAAACCTGAGGAAACTGAGGCACAGATTGAGCGGGGGTCAGGGCCCCATGGTAGAAAGTGCCACATCTGGATGTGGACCACCTCCTGACTCCATCGGTGTACTCCCTGGGCGGGTGATTAACAAGATCGTGGCTGCTTTTGTCTCTGCAGTGACGGTGTCGGATGAGCTGTGGGCAGTGGGCCCCCCCGGCTACCTCCTCCAGCGGCTGACCAGGACTTTCAGCCACTCACACGGTACCCAGAGCAATCAGGCTGCCACCACCCACCCGGAGGACCTGGAGGACGAATGGGAGGTCATCTGAAGGAGCTGTGACAGCCGCTCAGGGGAGCCGAGCATGCGGGGACAGTGGGTTCTGAACCGCTCACTCTGGGACATGCCTGGTCAGCTCTTGTCCAGACCCGTCTGGCCTGCCATGCTGGACGCCCCACACTTGCTGTCACCTGTATTTGTTTCCGTCTCGTTCCAGAACCCACAACCTCAGCCGAGTGACTGGCGCCTTCCTGGCACAGCAGCGCCCCGAATCCTGTGTGGTTGTCTCCACATGGGGACAGTGGCTGCTCCCAGGTGCACATGTTATAGCTTCTCGTGTACTGCGGTCACTGACCCACTGTGGGGATGCTGCAGAGAGCTGCCCATGGGCAGGACGAGTCAGCCGGGTCAGGGGACACTCCTGTGAGCCATCATAGGCAGCCACGCTAGTCACCGGAGGTCAGTGCTCTCCAACCACTGAATGTTCCCACGTGGCTTCCCCTCTGTCCCAGGGTCCTGCCACCTCCTCTAAGGGATGCAGGTTCTAGCACATTCCAAGCCAGATGCCCAGATGGGAAGCCAAGGCTGTGTTTGAGGGTGGGTGGTTGCTGGGCTGGGCCAGAATGGAGACCACGCCTGCACCTGCCACAGCATACCCAGGCCAGGGTGCTCACCACCTAGAAAACACCTTGCGGCCAGAACACTAAAGGCCAGTGGACAAAAACAGACCTGGCTGTGTGCGCACCCCAGGCAGGGATGGCCAGGAAGCCAGGCATGAGAAGGGCAGCTGTGCTGGCTACCTTAGTGTCTTTAGAGTGGTGTCCAGCTCATGCTGCCAGTGGACGTTGTGAGACCGGATGCGTCCTCAGGATGAATCTAATTATTGCCTTTTTGTTTGTACATTACAAACCCACATAAGATACCTCATTTGAAATCAAATGTTACAAATTTAGAAGAGAAATGTATTTCCTGAAACCAGTGGCTGGCCCTTCATTCCCTCCCATGATTACCCTGAGTCTACAGTCCTCAGCTGCAGCTTCCGACAGGTGGGTGTCACCCCTGTGTGTTCTCAACGTGTGGGGCATCCTGGAACCTGGACTGGCTCCCGTGGCAGCCAGCACTATCAGCTGGCATTTGGGTTGACCCCCCAGAAGGTAGAAGCTGGTGCCTGCTCTGGTCAGTTGCTGTGGCCACACCATACGTCAGTCCCTGCGGTCAGCCTGCAGTGCTGTCACCTCGCTGGCATCGGAGCTGTAGAACTAGGCCGCCCACCCTGAGCCCCACCTGGCCCTCCTGAACCATGGCTGCACTGCAGGACTCGGCCTCCTGCTGTTTGTAACCTGCCTGTGGCCCAGGGCCCGTCCTTTGAGGCCTGTTTTCTAATAAACTGTGTCCAGCCCCCAGGCCACAGGTGAAGAGCCATCAGGTGTGGCCTCAGATGGGACCAGCTGGCTGTGAAGAGGGTCTTCCAGGCCTAGATGAGGACAGGATGCTGGCCCAGACCCTACTCTACACTTCACTTCTATAGAACCTTCTCTTGAAGTTTGTTGGCAGCAGAGGCTGCCCAGTGGCTGCGGCTCCTGGGCTGTGAGTGTGACACTTTGCCCGCTCCTGGGATGGATGGCAGGGCAGTCCCGGACCCACGGACCTCAGTGCAGTTACACTCAAGTCTCGCTCAATGTGCTTAAACGCTTTCAGCTCCAGTGCTGTGCACGGTTTCCTCCTAGTCTCTCAGTTGTACTTTGAGACAGTGCAATAAACTAGACTTTCCAAGCCCGGTCACGTCTGATGTCTAAGCTATGACGAGGTGCCCTCAGCAGACATATGTGGAGGCTGGTGTCCTGCCTGTGCTGGGAAGACCCTGCCCACTAGCCTCACTGCCCGAGACTGTGGTGGACATGACCTCGTGACCCGCTCCATGTTTACATACGCGCTGGTCTACCCAGGGTGGCGGTCCTGTGGCAGTGGTCACCCCACAGGCAGATGGCCACCCTGGTGGCCCAAGGTGGAGTACAGGGCCATCTGCTCATGGAGGCCCATAGAGGCCAGGCACCGCTGACAGGCGTCGGAGGGGCTCGAGCCCCTGGGGCTAGATCTCCATCCAAGAAACAAAACCAAGTATCCGAAGTGCCCTGTGGAACCCACCATGCAGAGAAGGACCATGTCCATGACAGCAGGACCCTGTGCCAGGAGCGGCTGGATGAGACAGGTCTCACTTGTGGCAGGAAGCACCGAGCTGCCCAGAGACGTCCAGGAAGATGGAATCAAGGAGAGTGTTTGACGTTCCTGATGGAAGAGTAACCACCGCAGAGACACCGTCCTCTCCACACGAATGTGTGGGTTTCACTCAATGTCAGAATCCCCTCAGGGATTTGTATGGGGGGGCAGGGAGGAATTCCAAAAATAATGTTGGTCCCACAAACACCCCTTGACAGTGCCGGACGTGCTCCTAGCACTCACTCAGCCTCTAGTCCTCACTAGGCCCTGGGGGATAATACCGTTTGTCCCAGAGAGACTCAGAGGTCACGGAACTTGCTCAAGGCAATGCGGGGATCTGGGATCAGAACCGAGCTCTGGAGCTCCAGGCCTGAGCAGCCTGATGCCCTGGCTGTCCCAGGAAGAGGTTGGGGACAGAGGCCAGTGTGGCTGGGAGGCGGGGACATCAAGCAGCCAAGCAAGGAGGCATTGGAACTGAGGGGACAGAAGCGTGACCACAACCCACGTGCCACTGCTCAGTGATTTGCACAAAACAAAGCTGCACCGGATTGAAACGGTGCCTGATTCTAGATGGCGAGGGTTTTCAAACTCAGTGGTAGGAGAAGCCACAGAGGAAAACAGACGTGACTTCAAAGTGTAAAAATGTGCAAATTAAAACCCCCACATAGAACTGAAAGAGGAAATAATTGCAACAAATGGGACGTTGTACGTGCACCCCCAGCACAGTTCCCAGGAGGAAGGCGGAGGCGGCGCAGGGCCCGGAGCAGGGGCAGTGGATGGGGTGGCCCCTGGCAGCCCAGCAGCAGCCTCGAAACCTCCAACCCCAGGATTCCGCCCTGGGCGCCCGTCCTCGAGAGCAAACCCTGAGTCGGCTGCAGCCTAGCACAGCACGGCCTGTCTGACTGTGACACTACAACACCCCGGGGCACGTCCCTCGCGAGCAGGCCGCCAGTGTCACCTGACTGCTGTATGGACGTTGGATTTCTGGGGTTTAGCAGCAAGTGTGGCTCTGGAGGAGGTCGGAGAAGGCGGAGGGGGTGACACAGGTGCACGCACCCCTCTCTTACCTGGGTGGGTTTGAAACTTGTCCTAATTCCAGGGGCACACAAGGCACAGAATCAACAAGCTCACCACACAAGCCGCTGGCCACAGTGGTTGCCTGGAGTACATACCTTTTTTGTATCTCTTGGATTTTGAGCCATGCAAATGTATTATTTATTCCCAAAGTAAATAAAATTTGCATTTTAAAACCTCAGTCCTCTCTGACTTTACCTCTTTGCAGTGTCAACACTAGCTGGTCGGCTGCCACAAAATCACCGCAGGCTTCGTAAGAATCGTGTTTGCAAGGTGTTTACAATAGAGGGAGGTGCTTATGCTACAGCGAGTGTAAAAGTACTAAGTTGTGTAAGTGACCCGATGTCAGGTATGTAAAAAATATGCATAGAAAAAATGTGTGTATATGTGCGCTTAGAAAAAACGGGAAGGAAGTACCCCAGAATGCTAGCCGCGTGTGTCTGGGGGTGGGATGTGGGCAGTCGGCCTCTCCATTGGGAGCCGCTCCGTGGGGCGAGCAGGGCAGTCCCGTTTCCAGGACAGGCCTCGCCACACCTGTCCCCGCTTCCCTGCACAGTCCCAGGGACCTACCACGAGCGTACTATTTATAAGCTGGAATTCTTTTTAAAATCACCAAAGGTAGAAATCGCTTCACCTCTGTCTTGATTGGGGGGGTGGGTAGACATGTGTAGACATTGTCTACACTCCTCACACTACACACTCCTCAGGCTACACACTCCCAAGTCTGCATTTGTTACATGTCAGTCGCACTCAATTTTAAAATGTAGCCAAAACCAGTGGCTGCGGGGCAGCTTCGTCACTGGTCACTCGCTTCTCCTGACACAGGTGCCGTGCAGCCTTCCCCTGGCTACGCTGCTCCCCCTTCCTGACTTCCAGGAAGCATCCTGTTCTGCGCAGGATTTGGGGTAACTAAGGAAAGTGTTCTCAATACAGTATTTGAAAGTTGAAATGAAATCAAGGCAACCTGAAGGTGAGATTAGCCTGCAAAGGAGGTGCAGTGAGGCCAGGCACAGGGTCATGTCACCAGGGCCAAAGGAGGGGCCCTCGGGCCTTGCTCCCCCGCCCTCCTGGCCATCTCCCCAGGGCCACCCTACAGCACACAGTGTCCTGTGGTGTCCCTTTTTTGCTCTGGGCACAAGGTAACGATACCAGCAGGCTTCTAGGGTACAGATTCTGGCGCCTGAGCCCTAACAGGCTGGGGTTCTCTGGGTCCCTGGGTAGGCGTAGGGGGTGGCCTGTGTTGGCTGCAGTCGGGTTTTCCTTTGAAAGGTTGCAGGATTGAATGAGCAAACGAACCCACGTACTTTACCACAGAGAAGGGCCTTTGTGGTCAGAGAAGCCGTCAAGACGCCCTGCCAGTGGCCAAGAGCCGAGTGGCTGGCTGCCAAGGGACCCCTGGGCTGGCCAGGCCAACTCCGAGTCCCCAGTCCTTCATGCTCATCGCCAGGGTGATAATGGTGACAGGGCAGGGACACCGTGCTCGTTGCCCTTCCTGGGGCTGGAGGACCCAGGAGACTGATAAGCCCAGCGCTGAGGCCTGCCCTCCCTTTTGGGCCAGCAGCAGCCACCAGATACCCTTATCGGCCCTGCACCTCTCCTCTAGGTCCTCTGCGCTCACCCAGCCAGGCGTCAGTCCCAGTGAGACTCACTGGGAGTCGTGCCAGGAATCAGGCCTCACTCGGCTGTCAGGGCTGTGACGCTGGCCTGCCCTTTTCGGCCCCCTCTGCCTTCCTGGCAGCTCTGCGCAGTATGAACTCCCTTAGCCACCCCCACCCTGTCCCACCCACAGGGAGGATATTAGGGGCTAATGCGCTGCTGCCGCCACTGCCCTCCCACTCCTCCAAGGGGTCCTCAGATGGGCCCAGCGTCACCCAGCGAATGATGGTGCAGTCCCCTGCTCACCCCAAGCCAAACCACCCCACTTGGGCCCTGACTTTTCCCACTTGTGGTGCCCACAATTCCTCGTGCTGGGATCCTGCCCTGAACTCCAGGTGTGCAGGCCCAGGTCCCCCCACCAGGTGCCCCCAGCATCAATCAGGGCTCCAGGGTACCCCAATGCTTCCCCAGGCCTAGCCCCAGAGCCACCACTGCGACCTGCTGCTCTGGCCACTGGTCTCCACTTTGCGTCTCCTCTGAAGGAAATGTACCCTCCCCTACAATGGCATCCCTGGTATGAGGACCTGGCACCTCGTAGAGACCAAGAGCTCCTGATGCCCAAGTTTTGAGCTGCAAGAAATGTAAGTATCCTCTGTCCTCATGTGTCAAGGTTCAGAGAAGCTATTTAACTGGCCCAGGACACACAGCAGGAGGGGAGGAGCCCTCACTCCCACCTGGAATCTAGGATCAGCCACTAGACTGAGCACCCTCCCTCCCCTTCTTCCCACCAGGGCTGTGCACCCACCCACCCCTCACTTCCCAGGAACTGGGGTCACATGCTTTTCAGGGCAAGTAGAGAGCTTGGAGACAGTACAAAACCTTTTGAAAACACGGTGATACAGAAGCCCAGGGTAGGGGTTTGTCCCAGGTCACCCTGAGAGTTGATGGCAGGCCCAGGCCAGAACCAGGGCCCCCAAGCAAGACCTTCCTGCTAACCAGGCCCTGTCTGTACCCTCCCTCCTATGTTCCACCACCCAAAGCCTCTGGCCCCCAGGCATGCTCCCCTCAGGGACTTTGGGGGCAGGGTAGGTGGTAGGTACCCCCAGCCAGGCTGGTCACTGCACCACGCACACCTTAAACGTCTGCTCCTGGCAGGACATCGTGGCCTCCCAGCCCATGCCGTCACGGGTTGAATTTCACGGCCCAGCAGAATTCCTGAGTACAGCCTGGCTCTTCTCCCTGGTCCCAAGGCTCCCCGGGGCACGGACCCCGCTTTTCAGCCAGGGTCCCTTTTCCCTGAAGGGTTGTGATGCATCTGCTAGCGAGCCTGCATCTTCAGAACCTTCCTGCAGAAACCAGCTCTGCTGGCTGGACAAGAGGGCTGCCCACTGGGTGATGCAGCCACCCCATCACCCACAGGCACCACCTAACACCCACTGGGGCTGGGCCAGGAGACACAGAGAGGCACATGCGCTGGGCGGACTGAGGGCAGGCCTAAGGCACCTCTAACCCCACCTGAGGAGGGGATGGAGCGGGGGCCAGCAGCCCCAGGGCTAAGTGCCTGCTCATCCTCGGGGAGAAATGGGTGGTAGGTACAAGGCCAGGCCTGGGGACACCAGCTCTGGGGGGCCAGCCACAGTGACACCCAAGGAGGGGTGGGTACCAGTGTGGGATGGAGAGGGCCAGGAGGACCAGCCTGGGCCGTGCCTCCCCCTGTAGCACAGTAGCCTTCCTGCCCTCTTGGACCTCAGGATCCAGTCCCCCTGCCACAGGACTCACAAGGCCCTAAGTGGGGACTGCCCCAAGGGGCTCCCCAGGCATGCTCCTGGCCTCCATGCCTTTGCACATGCTGTCCGTCCTACTTGGACACGTCAGTCCACATTCCCTGGGCCTGCGTGGCTGCTTCTGCTGAGCTCGGTTGTCACTCCCTCTGGGATAACCTTCCAGGACGTTATCCAGATGGATGGATGGCCCTCACCTTCCTGGGCTGGGCAGTAAGATGAGGTCAAAGCTTGGCTCTTGGGAGCCACATGACCCCTCGCGCCAGCTCTGCACAGGGAGGTCGAGCACCGACCCCAGCCATACAGAGAAAACCTGCAGGTAGGAGCCCACCTGACCACCCTGCCCGGCCCCCCACGCGTGGGACAGATAAGGCAAACTCTAACGTACAGAGATCAATATATGTAAAGTGCTAGGTACAACCCTCTGAAAAATAGTATTCTCCAAATGTCCAGCGCCCCGTGCGCCCCGTGGGCTAGCCCTTGCCCGTGAGGTCCAGTGGTTGCAGGAAGGGCGGCAGCGGCAGCTCGTCCAGGGCCTCGGGGAAGCGGCAAGGCGAGATGGCGGTGACCAGCACCTGCATGGCGCGCACGAAGAGCGAGGGC